CGATTCACCCGAACTTGCTCTATCCTGAAAATACAATATCATCTCATATACCTATGCAAACCCTGACTAAGCCTCACGCATGAATATTATATATTACAGTAAGTAACTGTTTCAATATCTAAGTATCTCTGTGTGTGGTGGCGGTGCAACAATTCATTAAGGGCTTGCCTGAATATGGCTGCCATCAGAAATGTAATGGCTGGGACAGAGTTTTGTATCGCTGATGCAAACGTTGGTGATGTGTTGTCCAAACCAAGCAAGTAGAAACCTTGGTTCGCAGTAATCCTGTGTAATGAAAAAAAGTATTATTATTATTAATGAAGCACAAGCCAGCGAATAATCTCTGCTTATATATATATAGATATATAGATATAAAATTAATTGGACGTGATCTGAAAATTTTACATACCCGACAAGCGCCAGAAGAAAGAACTGTGAGAGGAAGTTTAAAGTAATGGCAGGCCTCTCCTTCCTGGACAAAGAATAAACAAACAGCTGCTGAGAGAGACAGATGATTGTAACTGGAAAGATTTGCAGAATATTTATATGTATATACTATATATGGGATTAATTAATTGTTTAGTTTTGTTATGTTATGATATGTTACGTTAGAGAAGGTAACAGTGACTAACTTTTCCAAGAAGTAGGCAAAAGGAAGGAGCAGGAATAGGGCAATAACGTTGCGGTAGACTGGGAAAACAAGTTTGCTAATGCCCATGTTAAGGGCAGCTCGAGAGACGACGTGGAATCCGGCGTAGCCAAACTGCAGGGCCAACATGGCCGCATGCAGCTGAACGCGTTCCGGGACGGAGCACCACATTCTGGTGGAAGAGGAGGCTGAGGCAGAATCAGCCATTGAAGAGTAAAGAAGTGATATAAATGAAGTAATAATAATTGAGAGCTAGGTAGGTGGTAGCTTAGCTTGGGTAGAAAGGGAGGGAAGTGGTGAAGGGGAGAGGGAAGAGTAAGGATATAAATATAGGGAGGAGAAGAAGTAGAGTGTAGAAGCAATGCGATTGGTGTGACCCACAATCAGCCTAAAAAGGCGTTGTGTCAACTGTTGTTAGCCTTAAAATGTTTTTGTTTGTCTCCCACATTCTTTGCTCCATTCCACCCTCTCCTTGGCTGACAAGACAACCCTCACCGCACTTGCTTTGAAATTAAACATGAAATTGAAAAGGAGGAAAAAGGAAGAGTGATCAGGGTGTGAGGTCAGATCAGGTGTGTGTGTGTGTGTTTGAGCTAGAGCCAGAAATTATGAGAGAGAGAAAGTGAAGTGAAAGAGATTAGTATGTATGAGTTTAAGAAATTAAGATGGTTGGGGTTTGACACCATGCGAATAATGATTATTGTTTGTTGAGGAATGAATAGCTGAGCCGCCATTGATAGATAGCGCGCACGAGTGGAGTGGTGGATGCCCCATGCGGTTGCCTAAGAACCCCACCACCACACTCCCCCACCCTTCAATAATACCTTTTTACAGGGAGTGTGCGTTTTAATATACCATGACCGCTCTAAAGGAAACTCTGCCATTATAAAATTCAGGAAGCCCTGCCATATGCATAAATATATGCAGAAATATTTTGCAGCTACTTCCTCCACTATACTCAAAAGGAAGATAATGAAGTGTTCCCACTCCCAAAGTTACCATAATATGCGGATTCGTTGTTCAAATCATCCCCTTAGCTTTAACAGACATAATGTCGCCCCTCCCACCCCTTTTAAAATTGACACATCCCAAAACAATACAGTATAAACTATATCATAGAATATTCCCATATTAACAATATTACAGTTCACTTATGAAAGTAAAGAGATACGTTCATGGCCAAACGACCTTACAAAAGTACTACAAACTTTAAGATTTACAAAACACAGTTTACACCGAACGGTTATCAAAACTACGCTCATACCGATCGGTTATACAAAATAAAACCCAACCTAATGACCGAACGGTCCTATGATTCCGCTTTCACTTCCACTTCTTCCAGAGCTTCTTCCAGCAGNGTCATTCCTGTACATAAATTACACCTAGAATTTTGTCAATTTGCCAGTGTCTTCACAGGAATTAACGATGAGATATTGGATTTTAGTCTCATGGATTCATCTTCCAAACACATTATTATCTAAAACTCCTTGCCTTCTCCTGCTTGTCACGTTTCTGTGTCTTCTCATGTGATGCAATAGACACGTAATTGAGACAATGCAGAGTAGTGCTACTGTGCCAACATGATATACTAATTATTTGATGCAAACTTAATTAATTATCCATTTACGAACTTAATGAGAACACCTCAATTATTAATGTTAATTGAGTTGCTACAAATTGGAAAGTGAATGACGGACGGTCGGCCATTGGTACGTAGTGGATTTTAGTTATTTGTGCTTGGGATTATGCCAGCATGCACCTCACTAAAATGGTAATGGTGCGGCTAAACTTGCGCAATGATGAATAGAAGATATTGATTAAACCCGACCGAAATGATGATTCCGTTTGAGAGTGACTATTAATATATTATCATGGCTTATCGAATGTTGATGCTTGCTTAGGCTGCTTTTGAGACAAGGTGACGGAGAATATCTTGCATGACTTTCTTTCCGTCTCTGTCATGATCATCTCTAGCATTACCTTGGAGACAACCGAGCATAGAGCTGAAATTAAAAATCTGCTTTGGTAAATCAAACCATTAATTAACATATAAAGCATATGGGATTTCGGTCTTTGAGGCCACTTTTACGTGACATCCATCATTGTAATGATTCCCATGAAAAACCTCATTCTAAAAGTCCTAGAAAGAAAGCATGTGAATTAACCAAAAGAAAAGAAAGAAAAAAAGAAGATGAAAGGCCTTCGTACACACACAAGCTTCCTGACATAAAGTAGTAATAATGTATCACTGGTATCATTTTCTTCTTTTTCTTTTTCCTTTTTCCCTCCCAGAAAATGGTGCCCCAGCAGCACGAAGTCATGAATCTCTTGATCACACGTTCTCCGTAGATGAAGGGAGGAGAAGAGGCTGAGTGAGTGATGTTTTGGCATGGCTTGCGGATCTGATGCCACTGTGCTCTGGGGTGGACGTGATCGCAGCCTGTTCCCTTGCAAACTTTCTCTCTTCGTTTTTGCCCCACAACACAAAGTACAGTCCCACAACGATCAACACTGCTCCTATGATCCTACACCACAGATTCCACCCACACAACCACTCACAATCAAAATTATAATTCGCAATAAAGTAGTGTGTACATGCGTAAAAGATAAACCAAAAAGAGACACGGCACCTTCCATTCTATTAAAAATCTTAAACACTTTTTTAACCTCTAGACTGCGGAACACTAAAAGATGTTCCTTCGGATTCCTTAGCCTTTTCTAAGTCGAGTCAGTTTTCGACCAAGCTTCAACCTCAACGTACCTAAGCTCCAGCTTACTTGTAGTTTAGTGGGTTTTCGTTTGTCGTTTTCCAAGTGGTCCTTGTTAAGTCATTTTTCCATTCTTAAGCTATACACACACCCTATCTAAAAAGTAATTAAAATAAGAAAACGAAGAGCAGAGGCAATAGGACGAACCCTCCCAAGTAGAACTCTTCGCCTAAAGCAAGGGAAGCCATAATAGCGACAACGAGAGTTTGAACAGGTTGATACACTGCAACGAACACAGGGCCACCTCTGTCGACGCACCATGTCTGAACAGCGAAGGCAATTCCAGATGCCACCACTCCCTGCAATGCATAATCCAAATTTTTGTAACATTACAATTATCTTCACACGCCTACCCTCAATTACATCTCAACAATTATTGCACAAATATCATTCATCCTTTCACCACTCCATCCAATACAGACAACTATATTGCACAAAATTAAATTTAAATTTTCATATTAAAGCGACCAACTCTGTGCAGTTTTTGTAGAAAGAGGCTGGACCCACGTGGAGATACCTTTGCATGGTATTTAATTCTTTACACGCTTTACGTTGATTTAAAAGCAGAAAATTTATACAAAAAATAATTAATGGATTTGTAATTTTGAAAAGAGAAGTCTTTATGTAAAAGCTAAAGGACATAAAATGATAGACCGTTTATTTATGTAAGAATAAAGCGAATAAATACTTTTTATTAGAAAACTAAAACAGGTAAAAGTGAAGAAGAACGTTTTAAAATGTCAAGTGGATGTTTTAAATAACAACATTACTTTGAAAAAAATAATTTTGATCATAATTCAAGTTTATAACTCTTTGATGTGTAAGAATGACTTTTTTCATTCATTAAAATTTCTTTTCTTTATTGAAAAAAGTGAAGGCTTGCCTATATCAGAAGTGGGAAAAATATGGGAAGCCAGTGCTTGAATGAAAGCATTATATATATATATATATATATATATGGTGACTGACCGCATAGAAGATGGTGAAAACTTCTCCACCAGATTGGAAAATCCAAGCCTGAGCATCTCTTTCAACGATGAGAGCAATGACGAAGAATTGTATGAGGCCAAAGAAACATGTATAGGAAGTGAGAGAGAGGCGGGCAGGGTACTTCTTGATTACAGGTGCTTGCAACACAAGCCAACCAGACCAGGACAAGCAGTGTCCTATGAGATAGAGGCAGCCGAGGGTCCAGTTCTTTCCCTTTGCATCTCCCAGCGAGAGTGAGCCAAAGTCAATTACTGGGCTAGCGTTCAGTGGCGGAGTTGGGCTATATATTGTTGGACCCTTATATAGGGTAATCACCGATGCCCCAGCCACACAGAATACCGTTCCCGCAACCTTCGCTATCCCATCCTTTCGATTCACCCGAACTTGCTCTATCCTGAAAATACAATATCATCTCATATACCTATGCAAACCCTGACTAAGCCTCACGCATGAATATTATATATTACAGTAAGTAACTGTTTCAATATCTAAGTATCTCTGTGTGTGGTGGCGGTGCAACAATTCATTAAGGGCTTGCCTGAATATGGCTGCCATCAGAAATGTAATGGCTGGGACAGAGTTTTGTATCGCTGATGCAAACGTTGGTGATGTGTTGTCCAAACCAAGCAAGTAGAAACCTTGGTTCGCAGTAATCCTGTGTAATGAAAAAAAGTATTATTATTATTAATGAAGCACAAGCCAGCGAATAATCTCTGCTTATATATATATAGATATATAGATATAAAATTAATTGGACGTGATCTGAAAATTTTACATACCCGACAAGCGCCAGAAGAAAGAACTGTGAGAGGAAGTTTAAAGTAATGGCAGGCCTCTCCTTCCTGGACAAAGAATAAACAAACAGCTGCTGAGAGAGACAGATGATTGTAACTGGAAAGATTTGCAGAATATTTATATGTATATACTATATATGGGATTAATTAATTGTTTAGTTTTGTTATGTTATGATATGTTACGTTAGAGAAGGTAACAGTGACTAACTTTTCCAAGAAGTAGGCAAAAGGAAGGAGCAGGAATAGGGCAATAACGTTGCGGTAGACTGGGAAAACAAGTTTGCTAATGCCCATGTTAAGGGCAGCTCGAGAGACGACGTGGAATCCGGCGTAGCCAAACTGCAGGGCCAACATGGCCGCATGCAGCTGAACGCGTTCCGGGACGGAGCACCACATTCTGGTGGAAGAGGAGGCTGAGGCAGAATCAGCCATTGAAGAGTAAAGAAGTGATATAAATGAAGTAATAATAATTGAGAGCTAGGTAGGTGGTAGCTTAGCTTGGGTAGAAAGGGAGGGAAGTGGTGAAGGGGAGAGGGAAGAGTAAGGATATAAATATAGGGAGGAGAAGAAGTAGAGTGTAGAAGCAATGCGATTGGTGTGACCCACAATCAGCCTAAAAAGGCGTTGTGTCAACTGTTGTTAGCCTTAAAATGTTTTTGTTTGTCTCCCACATTCTTTGCTCCATTCCACCCTCTCCTTGGCTGACAAGACAACCCTCACCGCACTTGCTTTGAAATTAAACATGAAATTGAAAAGGAGGAA